GGTCACCAGGGCCATTACTTAGGAAGAGACCCTCATACTCTGGAGTAGGCAGAAGACATGATGTCAAAACCAATACTTCAACTAGAACACACAGTTGCAGCCTTTACCACTGCAGAAGCTCCTATCTCCACCTTCTCTGCTGTACTCATATTGAGTTTTAGCAACTGGACCAAGAGACAACTCCTCCATCTTGGTAGAAGACTCCATACAGACCCGAGTACTCACCCTGGCTGTCTAATGTATGGTCCCAGGGCACCACAGTGACCTCGGCCCCACGCTGGCAGAGGCATCGGATCTGATTATACTTGAGGCCACAGTCCAAAGCAAGGATCCGAGGGGTACCCCCTGCATTGAATACCTGTGGAGTCTGGGGGACAGAGAAGTAAAGGACAGCAGCTGTCATCAGTGAATATAAGACAAATCCAGCCTAATCCCTACCCTCAAGGCCTCTTTTGATTCTCCCCTTAGTGTTCACACTGCAACAGAATGTAAGCTACTGTGGTAGAGCTCTCCCATTCTGCGTCTGTACCTTAATGGAGACTTCTGGCACCAAGGGGCGGGCATTGGGATCCAAGAATGGCAGGGCTGAAGGCTCTGTCCCATTCTGGATCAGCTTCCCCAGCAGTGACCCTTGCTCCCGCAATTTCTTAGTCAGCTCCCGAGTGTCCACTCCTGTCAAAATCAACATACTCGAGATCATACTATCCCAACTCAGTCTTCCATGAGGTTAGACTTCCAGAAGCACTTCCATTAGAGCCCTGAGTCACACACAGCTGTCCTATGGGTATGCTACTTTGAAGTATTCCTGACAAAAATAAATCTGCATCAAAACACAATTCTAGAACTATCAGGTTACAAAAAAAATAGTACCAGAGACAAAAGAAAAAAGAAAAGCTAATGACACTATAGAAATGTAATCAACGAAATGTAGATTGTGGGATACCCTCAAGAAAAAGGACCTGCTTTTGTCAAATAGGATACAAGGCCCATGGATTAAAAAGACCTATCAACCAAATACAGCATATGAGCACCATTTAGATCCAGGCGCAAATAAACAGTTAAAAAAAAAACAGAAAATCAGGTAAATTTTGAAAATTGCCTGGATATTTGATGACATTAAGGAATTATTATGAAATTCTCTTAAGTACAACAATGATATTGTGGTCACTTTAAGAAAAAAAAAAAAGACTCCTTGTCTTTCAAAAATACATGCTGGGCTATTTGCATATAAAATGATACGAAGTCTGAGATCTACTTCAAAATAATCTGGGGGTGGCAGTGGTGGTAATGAAATAAAATTAGCCATGAACTGATAATTACACTATACTTTCCTTTTTTATGTTTGAAATTTTCCATCTCAGTGATAGATCCTCCAGCCCCAGATCCCAATCTAACCTAAATCAGGCCCATTCTACAATAAGCTTAGACTTTCAAATGCTAAGTCCCAAAAATCTACTGAAACCTTATCTTGATCCTTTCCATCTAGGCACACTGCGCTCTGCCCAGGCACACCTGTGCTCACCATCATACCTTGCAGGCCAGGTATGCCATGTTCCTGTAGCCACTCATGCAGAGTGCAGGTGACACTCCAGTGGCTAGGGGTGGGGCAGCACTCTCCCACCACCAGTCCTGCCACATGGATCCCCGAAGATTCAAACCACTGTAGATGGAAGGAGGATACTGTGACAAGCAGCTCAAGGCCAAATACCTATGTAATTTTTTTCATCTTTTCCCATTATATGGCCATGGACCCTTTACTTCAGTCACAATGGATGATCTTCACATCACCAAACACTTAATAGCTTCCTTTACTAACAGTGCTGTCCCTCATGTTAAACATTAACACATGGGCTTTATTTTTGTCATAGAATCATGAACTTAGGAGCAAGGTGCCTGACATATACCAACAGCAACAAACATTTATTAAATGTCCCCTAGGTGTCAGGTAGTGTAACAGATGCTGAGGATAGAGCACTGAGCAAGAAAAGCAAAGTCCATGTCTTCATGATATTAATCTCTTTCCGTAAGGAACAAAATATTAACATATTAACAAATAAATTAACAAGATAATAATTAGAGACTGTACTAAGAATAAGGTGCTAAGATAGGTAGGTGTCTGATATACTACTAAATACAAGTAAGGTTCAGATTATAGTATCAGACGTGATCACACCCCTCTTCCCCACTTCAAAGGGACTATAATAATAATAATAAAAATTTGTTAACCAGTAGACAAGCAGTTAATAACTAAATGAGAAATAGGTAATTTATCTGGGAGAGAGTGGCCTACTTAAGGCAGCTCTGGTGGCATAGTGCCTAAGGCATTTGACTGCTAACCAGAAGACTGGAGGTTCAAAAGCACCAGCCACTCCTCGGAAGGAAGATTGGGCAATCTATTTCTGTAGTGATACTGCCTTGGAAACCCCAGGAGGGGTTGCTGAGTCAGATCCAACTTGACAGCAGCGAGTTTGGTTTGGCCTACTTAAATGATTCTGCTAAATGGTAAAAAGACGAGCTCTGGTGGCATAGTGCCTCAGGCCTTTGACTGCTGACCAGAAGGTTGGTGGTTCAAACCCACCAGCTACTCTGTGGAAGGAAGACTGAGCAATCTACTTCTGTACAGATTTATTGCCTCAGAAACCCAAACTTGTGTTGCTATGTGTCAGAACTGACTCGATGGCAGTGAGTTTGGTTTTGTTTTTAAATGGTAAAAAATTTAAAGGAAGATGGGATATTGAGCCTATTCTTTAAGCATCTGAAGGACAGAGGTTAGCAGATGAGTAGCAAGAACTCTCCCTGACAGGTGGAGTCATCTGGGTATGGGCCAAGCACATTTATAACACATGTGCCACAAAAGCATCAGTATTGGATTGGTGGCTGTAGGAAGTCTGACTCATTATGGTCCTGCCAGGGCCTCAATTTTAAAGGTTTGTAAACTCAATTCTATCAGAGTGCCTAGAGCTGATGAACTGAAGACTGACACATTAACCAAATTCACAAAATACTGAATTAAAAATTAGCATGCAGTGTATTAAAGGTTTATGATGGCAAATGGTCCTTTCCAAGAATAACAGTAAGTGTGTTCAGTATCCAGAGGTTTCTTGGTGTCAGGGGAACCTGGAAAGCAAATCTAAAATCTGATGGTTGCTCAGTAAACCTAGAATCATGCCAAAATTGGTTTTACGGAACACTGCATCTAGGCTATGGTGACTTTCACTATTTATCAATTGCATTTTTTTTTTAAATTACTTTAATTCAGAGAGTATCTCAGATTCTAAATTCCAGATTAGGAAGAATAGTTGTAACTTCTCTGAATTTCAAGAGATGGAATTTTCTTACCTCAAGGTAAATAAAGAAAAGTTAAAAATGAAGTAGGAAAAGTATGTCTAGAAGACCATAACCAACTTTCATTGGTTCTATACATAGGGGAGCTGGGACCCACTATCAGTGGGAAGGATGTGATCTTGGTTTCCGGTCTGTCACTAATCAATGTAACCCCAAAGCATTGCTCCCATCATATGACTCTGTTGCTAAACAACCTCCGATGGATCTTTATCAAATTAAAATGAGGCTTTGGTCTGGCTTCATGCCTCCTCTATCTAAACCATCTTTGCACTCCTTCTGCATTCCTAGGAAACAGGACATTGTTCTCTTACACCTTTTGCCCCTTCCCTTGATCCATGTCTTCACTCTGTCTAAAGACTTGGTGCTCCTAACAAATAGTCTATATGTATGTATATATATGTATACACACACCCATATGTCTATATCTATATATATAAAAATACATATAGATATACATAATTTTTTTTCTTCCTAAGCTGCAACAAGCTGAGCTTCCCGTATTTTACCAACCCAAGTTTAAGGACAGTCATCTCAGTTCTTATCACTTCACTGTTTACCTTTGTTCTAGCAAAGTGTCAATGTCTTTACTTAGTAATTCTTGCTTGAAAAATAATGTAGAGTAAGCATTGGGCGTGGCTACCTTGCTGAGGCCGAACTCATCCACTTCATCTGGGGGGATGCCATAGTTGCCGATCAGAGGGTATGTCAGAACTAAGATCTGTGCTTTGTAAGAAGGGTCAGTGAGGGCCTCGGGGTAGCCCACCATGCCGGTTTGGAACACTGCAAGGAAGAAGGAGGGCGAGGGCTCAGGGAAGACACCCTTTAGACACCGCCCCGCGCGATGAGAATACCCCGTTAGGGGAGGCTGCCAAGGACGTGAGGGGTGGAAAGGGCTAGGCTGGGGACCTGGGCGCCGAACGGGGGCAGGGTATGCAAGCGGGAAAATGGCGAGATCTAGGCAAGGCAGACTGGGCGGATAGGGGCATCAAAGTGGGATGAGGTCCGCAGCCTGCCCAGGCTTGCTTACCCACTTCCCCGGCAGTCGAAACAGAGGCCCCAAAGGGCTGGCCCCGCAGGACCGACCCGTCCTCCAACACCAGGGCCGCCATGGGTACGGAGCTCAGAGTCAGGGCCGAGCACGGATAAGCGGCGGAGCGCTGCAAGCTCCAGCCGGCGCTGGAACCACGTGAAGACGACGCGCCGGGAGTCGGTCCACGTGGCTAACGGCGCCGGTGGCTGAAGCAGAGGCGGGCGTGGACCGCGCAAAAGGCAGGCGCGCTGGCGGCAGAGTCTGCGGCGGCGCGGACAGCCGGCAGCGTGAGGGGCGGGGCCAAGCACGCAGAAGGCGTGGCCGCAGTGCGGCAAGGCTTGATCCCTGCGGCCTTTTCCCCCGGTAAAGTGGTAAAGTCGGGGGAAACCCAAAAACACAGAATACCCTAAAGCAGACGCTCCCATTCCCCACTAAGAAACACACAGAGGCAGGGCAAATTTTCCTACAAAAAGAAAAAAAAAGTAAAAGAAAAAAAGTGTTTATTATTGTGAATAACAAATGGGTGGGTACTGGTACTAGTCCGCTAATCCTGGATAAAGGGTCCACACAACACCTGAGGATTGGGGCAGTTTTCCATCTTCCTTCCAACAGTGGCCTGGGCCTTAACGATGCCAGTCTAGGGAGCAGAGCTCCCAAGCTGGGCTAAGATAGATCAGATGTTCACTAGGGAGACACACGTATTCATGAAGCCTTGGCTTTTCGGCGTTGGGTTCCCCATAGCAGGATACAGATGGATAGTGTGGTGGATCCCAGAATCCCGAAGAACACAATTAGAGAGAAGGAGCCCTGTAAATAAGTCCAAAACATCTCACTGAGCATTACAATGAAGGCTACACCCTAACACTTAGTTCTTTCCTAGTACACCTGTTCCCTCATTCAGGGTAATTCTCTTATAGCTTTACTCCTGCAGGTGATATGCATTAGCTTCTGATCTTGTGGCTCTTCTTTGAGACAGGTTTCTGCTTTATGTATTTCTCTTCTCTCTAAGGCCTAATTCCTCACCTGGCGCATACACTTGTAGCCATGGAAACCATCAGCGCAAAGACACTGCAAGAGACCTGGACCATCAGGTGCACAAGATCCATTCTCAGGACACATTTCTGAAAACCAGGGAGAAGTATAGAACATCACTGGATCTCATCAGATAGATTTCTTAAATATCTATCTACCTCAAGTTAGGGTCTCTCAATCCTTTGTAGGTCAGTGATAAAGATGATTACAGATAATCAGAACATAATAGAATATATTCTAAGACCTTTTCTTTCCAAGAGATTAGCCTCAAAACTCTGCACAAAAGGCACCTAAGCAATTTTACTGTCTTTCTGATCTAAAATGGAAATACAATGAAGGAAAGGCAGTTAGTTCCTAGAAGGATGAAGAAAAGACAGCATACCTGGGTCTCCAGTGTTATTGCAAAGGTTCCTTTGCCCTCGGCAGGTTTGACTGTCATTGTAAGTGCTAATAGTATTCCAGGCACTAATACCTCCAGGACAGTTAACATCTTGTGGCAGCACCCTGAAGACAAAACAAGCTGTAATAATATATTCAACCCAAAGTTGCTGAGCTCACAGCTTCTCTTATTCTCTCCCCTAATCCCATACTCTTTACTTACAGAGTCTGGAGCTGAGTGAAGCCACGAAATCTGTTAATCAAGTCATCCTTGAGGGGGTTTTCTTGCAGGTCTCTGCAAAGTATACCCTATTAACATCCTGCTCAGGAAAGCACCCTATCTCTATTCATACATCTTCTTAGACCGATAATCCAAGCCCTCATCCAAAGTACGTTTAGACATTAATATTCATCCATTTTTTTAGGAGTCCATCCCCGAAGACTTCCCCATCAACCCTTTGCCATATTCGCTTTTTGGGGAGGAAGGGTACCTAACCACTTACACAATGATAGCTGTATATGCTTGAGGGAAATTTGGTCCAGGGTCCTTCAAAGAACAGTTCTGGAGATCCAGCCTGAGGAAATAAAGTAATCTATGTAAATATGTGTCTTTTTTTCATCTATGACAAGATTTATATTTGATACCCAACTCCTTTTTAGATAATCAGTATTACTTCAACACAGCTATGTGAGAGCCACACATTAGGTGTTGTAGATGTTTTAATCCTGTTATACAGTCATCACTAGCTACATGTAGTTATTTAAAATTAAGAAATTCAGTCTGTCATTTGGACTGGCCACACTTCAAGTGCCAGGTAGACACTAACGTGGTTAATAGCTGCTGTATTGGGCAGTACAGGTATGAAATTTACATCTTTACAGAAAGTTCTACTGGCCATTACTGTTCTAATAAGTACTATGCCCTGTCAGTTTACATGTGTGCACATATTGGAAATTTGTTCCTTGTCTAGAATAGTGAATTTCATATTTTGGCTTTATGATTCTTAGAGCCACAAAGAATTTTCAAATGAAAATAAAGAAAGACAGATGTAAGTCACATAAATGAAAATTTCCTCCAAGTATATTTTCTACCATAGGCTAGATATAAGCTCCTAGATATTATATGCACAATTATTTTTTCTTCAGGATCTATCACTGACCATTCCTTTATTCTATAAATATGCATTGTGTGCCTACTAACTGCAAAACATTAGACTAATACATATATATATATATATATATATATATATATATATAGTATCTTAGTATTCTAATACCTTACAGTTTAGTAGAGGAATAAGAAAATCACCATTACAATATGAACAAAATACCATATAAATTTGAGATGTATAGAGACACTAAGTAGAGGAAGTCATATTACTCTGGGATTTAGTAGTAGGGAATATTCACAAAAGATGCTGTAATTAAAGGATTGATATGTTCTAATGTAATGGAAGAAGGCAATTTCAGGAAAGAAGAGAGGATCTCTACAACAACAAAGAAACAAAGGTAGAACGCTCTGTGGGTAGGTGAGTCTGACCCTGATGGAGAGTTTGAGTGGCCAAATAATTGGAAATAATGTCAGAAAGGTAGATTGGGATCAATCGGTGGTAGATACTGAATGCCTAGTTCATGCTTTGAACTTTACCCTGAGGGCAATATAGTTATAAATACAGTTTTAAAGTCAGAAAACGATAATGGAAAAATTTGGTTTATGGGAAGTTTGAAGTGAAGGTGAAGTACTCCAGAGGAGATGTTTAATAAGTACCTGTATGTATGTGGAGCTTGAAGATCTAGTTTTGAGAGACACCTGTGTGGTGGTTATAGCTGAAGCTGTAAGAACAGGTGGATTCTCAGAGTGAACAGGGAGAAAGAGCTAGGGCCAAGGAGTGAATCTGAGGGACTAGTTAGCATAGCAGACGGTAAGAGGAATTTGCCTCAAAGACAAACATGAATTAATCAAAGGGAAGAAAACCCTATTGGCATAGTGTCTTGGAGGATAAAGGGAGAATTTCATGGAGACACACAGTGAAGAATACAAAGACTTGATAATAAAGAACAAAGGTCTTTTAAAAAATGGAAGGCATAACACAGCTTATTAATTTTTTAACAAAAATTATGACTTTTATGCAGCTTCAATCAGAAATAACTACAGGACTGTTTTTTAGCCAAAAATGATATACAGATTTAAAAGTCTGAGAATGAATCATGGTTTAGGTGCTGCCAAAACAGGCATCAATATTTTATGCCAAAAGTCTATCAAGCAAGCCTTGTGGAGTCTGTTCTGGAAACTCCTTTCCCCGCTCCCCGCATTTCAGGGACGTCTTCTCTCTCACCCCAAGATGGTGCCCTCCTGATTCAGGCAGCAACGGGCATGCAACATTAGTTTCGGTGTCTGCTTACAAAAAAGAGCCACTTCTGACAAATTTTGCACACTCCCTGGACACTGGATGCATATCTGCATAAGAGAGAAACCTATTAAGACCCCAGAAAGAAAAGTCAAGAAAAGAACAAAAAGGGATCAAAAGTTACTGCTTTTCCAGGATACCTCTAACAAAGGGCAGGGAAGCAGATCGCGTTCCCTACTTGACTACCAAACCAAACCCAACTCAACTATCGAGCCGATTCCCACTCATAGCGACCCCACTGGGTTTCCGAGTCAGTAAATCTTTACTGAAGTAGACTGCCCCATCTTCCTTCCGCGAAGTGGCTAGTGGATTAGATTAGAGAATTTCTTTCTTTCACTAGAGTCAAACCACCCCATGGGTCTTTCAGTTACCAGCCATCGCCCAGAAAAGGCCGTTATCTTGGAAGATCACTATTCGAACATATTTATAAGGTCCTCTCCAGTGCCTTCTCAATCTGACACTCAGGTTTGGCCTGATATAAATGGACAAGGTACGCAAAGAATCATCAAACATTACAGAAAGTACAGTCTTGCCGCCGCGCGAAATACGGCATTCGTGCGTGGAGAGCGTACAGCAGAGCCAGAAGACTCGTCTACTGAAAAGAGTAACTTGAAGCTCTTTAAAGATTAAGGAGTAAGGAGACAAAATTTCAAAGGTCTTTCAAGGTAGGCAGGGCGGAGACGCCGGGAGGCTTGCAAAGCGTGAGCACCAGGGAGCCGGCCCGGCTGGACTACGGCCGAGGTCGGAAGGAGACCAAGGGGACTAACGAAATCCGGGCTCGAGAGGCGCCTTGGGGGCAGGGCGTGCGAACGCGATACACCAGCTTGCCAGTTGCTTGCCGGCAACTCTGCTTCAGCGCGACCTCTAACTTGCTTGTGTACCTCGGGTAGCGCCAGAGCCCTTTCTACGCCCAGAGCGAGGAGCAGAGCGGCAGCACAGGGCACCAGGCTCTTAGGACTGGCCGGCCTGCGTGGCGCCATTTTCCGCTGCCTTCGTCCTTCCCAGCTGCGCGTGAAAGCTCCGCCCCCGGAGCGTCACTCCTCGCCTGGGGGCGTAGCCTAGACGGCCCTTAGAGGGCTGGGGACTCTTAACAGCCGGAGGAAGCTCGCTAGCTTCTCCGTGCGTTCCCAGTCCTCGTCCTGGGCAAGACTGGTCGGCCCTTTCTCTTTCTCCCTCTCCCGCTTGCCGCTCGGCTCTTCTGACTCCACTACAGGCTCCCTCAGCCTTGCGGAAATCCCCTCCCTGGACGCCGAAGTTGCGTCTCCGCAGAGGCTCAGAGCCACTCTATCCGCCCTTAGTAAACATGGCGGCTGAGGGGTACGGGGGGGCGGGGCCCGATGTCACCTGGCGCGCGTGCTGCAGGCCTAGTTCTCCCGCGGCTGCCGGACCCATGTGTGGAGACCTGGCAGGTGGGTTGCACGAGAGCGGGCCAGTGCTTAAAAACTCCGGAGAGCAGCGGCGGGGCGGGTGTCCGGCGGCGGGAGAGAAGGGGCGGAGCCAGCCGGACTGTGCGTGGGGGCTCGGGAAGGTCTGAGGGACTTGGCGGCAAGGTGGTTGTTTCGGTACCCGGCGCTTGGAGGGAAGGAGGGAGGCCAGGAGAGAGAGTAAGAGTGATGGAGGAGCGAGGAACGAAGGGAAAATCCAGGCAGGAAGAGAGGTGCCTGAGGACGCTCTGGGCACCCAGTCCCTTTCATCTCAGTCCTGGGACCGCGCAGGGTCCCGAAGCCCTGACAGGAGGAGGTGCGGGCCGAATACATGCTTACCTATAGCTACTTACCTGCCTTTTCCTTCCCAGAAAAAGTGAGCGATGGTGGTACCAAGAAGAATGAGAGGACCTTCTTAGCCCTGGCTGAGCCACGGAGGTAAGGATGTTCTGGGGTCGCACCTATCCCGGAGATAATGACTGTTGGTTTATTTCGGACCACTTGAAAGCTTATCAGAGCTAACTAAAGGCGCACCTTGAGCAGCCAGGTCGTCTTCCTTCAGTATCTCTGGTCTCTTCCTTATACCTCCAGATGTCTGGCATCTCCTCGAAGGCTATTTCTGAAGCATTCATAGTATATTAGTATTTTAATTAAGGCCTTTAAAGCCTTTCAGAACTTGAGGAATTCTAGGCACAGAGACATTTTGAAGGAAACTTTTTTCCTTCAGAGGACAATTGGACCTTCCATGACCCTTTGCCCTTTGTAGGAGTCAAAGCAATCCAGTGCAAAGTGGAACTAAGGTGAGGGGTTGGGAAGGAAGGAGAAGAGAAAGATTCTCTTCCGTGTGTGTGTGTGTGTGTGTGTGTGTGTAAGGAAGTAAGTAAGTAAAAGGGATCCCCCCACAGCCTGCTGTTTGTGCCCTGGTGTATTATCGTTTTAGTGAAACAAACTAGCCCTTATTTTGATTCTCATTCTCTCAGAAAAACACAAGTTGTGGGGTTTGAGTTAGTGTTTTTAGAAAGCCACTCACTGCCTTGTTCTTAGAATTATGACTAATGAAGGCTTTGTTACTGGATCAGGCTTTTCCTTACTTTCCTGGCTCTCCAGAAGGCTTCTTGTACCTTATTTAAATAAATTCTATCAGAAAGTCCCACCACTTTGCCTGATCAGTTGTAGAGTCTCCATTTCTGGGCATTTTGTACTCCTAGTCTGTGATGTGCTAGGACCTTTGTTGTTTTTACTAACTACCTACCCATCCATGCCACTAACCCTTATTTGCACACAGCAGACATAGGCCCTCTTACTCTTCAGTAGTTCTCATCACCTCTCTCATACTGGTAAAAATTTGCCAAAGAGGAGTGAGACAACTCAGAATGTTGCATTGTTTAAAGGTGCAGGGTGTCTTTATGTTAAACCAGAGTCACCTTTTGGGAATATTGTTCTGGGGGACTGGTATCTGTGACTCTGCTGATTATGTGATTCCAAGAATTGCCAGCTTTTATTTCCTCTATTCATGGCCCTTAGGAGGTTGAGAATTCAGGTTTGGTCTGTGTGAGGCAATATCTTGCCAGTCAGACAGCATCTGGCGGAAGACACAGTATGGGAGAGGTGGAAGAGAGCTAAGTTGATCTTTTGCCTCTGGGGCTATGGGCAAGAGCTCAAGTATTCTCTAGATTAGTTGAACTCTGTTCCATGAATGACTGACTACAGTGAACACTGTTGCTGCCTTTGGTCTGGGAGTAGTGAGGACAGAATCTCTGGTAAGTGCAGACATCACTTTGTTTTTTTTTCTTTGTTTTGTACCATGCTTTGTAATCTTGATCAAGTTATTTAACCTCTCTAAACCTCAGTTTCCTTGTGAGAATTAGAGTGTTTGTGAAAAGTGCTTGACCTGATTCATAGTGTTTTGAAAATGCTATAATTACTTCTTTGTTTATGAATATTATTGCTTACAAGACACTTAGCACATTGCTGGGTTACATAGCAGGTGTTTAAAAATGTTAATTGTTATTGTATTAGAGTGCCTAAATATGTGGCGTTCTCTGATATTTTTTCCTCCATACCAATAAGTATCCCTGGGGATTGCTTCTAAAGACAACGTGGTATAAATGGAAAACAGAATGGATGGGGAATCTTTAGGCCTGAGTTCTGATTTAGCCTCTGACAATCACTGGCTGTGTTTTTAGAAAGATTACTTGAATTGTCTGGGACTCAGTTTCTTTCTTTCTTTAATTTTTATGAAAGTTTACAGAGCAAATTCATTTTCCATATAACAGTTCATACATATTTTGTTTCATGACACTGACTACAATTGAAACTCAGTTTATTTGTCTTTAAAATGAGGGGGTTGTAATAGTGATCACTGAAGAATCCTTTAAGTCTTGAAATACAATGATTCTGTCCTTGTTTTTTTGAGGTTCGTGATGTGTTCTTTGAGCTTGAGTATATCTTTTGCAGGAGTCAGAAAGCAACTTTCCTGATTTCCTTCAGCTCTTCCTTTTCCAACTCCAGCACACAGCCAAGTGTGACTTATGGCAAAAGCCTAATCCTTTTAGGAATGCTGCTGAAAGCAAGCTCCCTTCTGTCCATTCTGGACCCTCTAGAGCTGAGCTGGGTTTGGGGCCTGTGGGGTCCTAGCTGCTATGGTAGGACCATTTGGATCATAGGGATTAGTTTTTAAGGGGCCAATACAAGGAGGTATTGAGCTTCGTCCCTCTTCCAGTTCCCCAGTCTCACCTCAGCCAGTTACTGAGCCAGCCCCTGAGCCTCTGCCCAGCTTTAGACACAGCTCCACCAGGCAGCTCTGCTTCAGAACAGGGATTGCCTCTCTAAGTAGGTGTTTGCTTAGAGCAAGATAGGACCACTCTCCCGGGCTGATTTGCTCCTTGCCAAAGTGGCCCTGTAATCCTAATTCTGAACTCTGAACTGGCTCCAGCAGGTTGCTCTGCCTTGCATCTCACTTTTGAACCCACGTACTCTTCCTGAATCTGCTGTTGACTATGGTGTAACAGAGGGGCTGAGAGGTGGGTAGCAGGGCTTACCTAGTGGTGTTCGAGAAAATGTTGAGGAGCATGGAAGGGTTGGCCTGGGAAATGGCATTTGGGGCTGCCATGGAGACAGTTCCACTGGTGATCAGTGCTGAGAAGAGGTGCTATTAGGAGGGGTGATACAGGATGATGGGAGGTAGGGGATGATGTCAGGGGAGATAGGAGGCCACGTTGATGTTAGTCTCCATTTCTTTTCCCCTGTTGGGCTATGGCGCCAGGCTGGGCTCTTGGCTTAGTGAGTTGTAGTAACTGGGTCTATGCCTGCAGGTGGGGGCTGGAAATTCTTCTGAGTTGATTTTTCTTTCATTGCTTGGGTGGAAACCTGAGAAGTTTTACAATTCTGCACACCCAAGGTCTTGGCCAAGTTATTGTCTCACTCTTCTGCTTCCCCATTGCTATCTTCTCCTACCACACCCATACCAGGACTTACAGACTTTGAAGGGCCACCACTAACAATCAAAATCTGGTGGGTGTGGGGCACAAGGCCAAGTATGGGTGGCCATGCAGGCAAGACAGGCCTGACTAGGAGCTGATTCCTTTGCAGCTAACCCTGGACAATGTCATTCCGTAGAGGAAGAAGACTGTGAGACTGGCTGGATGCCAAGTTGCAGCTACTGCCTGACACTGCCCAGCCAAGTGACAGCTTAGAGCCCATGAGCAGCCATTGGCCACAGGTCAGGGACACATTGTGGATATGAATGTGACAGAGAGCACCTCAGTTCCTTTCCTCCCAACCTCGGGTACAGCAGTGCTCACATCTACCTTCTCCTTTGTGGATTACGTGGTGTTTGCCTTGCTGCTGGCTCTCTCCCTAGCCATTGGGCTCTACCATGCTTTTCGTGGCTGGGGCCGCCATACCATCGGCCAGCTGCTCATGGCGGACCGCAAGATGGGATGCTTTCCTGTGGCACTGTCCCTGCTGGCCACCTTCCAGTCAGCTGTGGCTATCCTGGGTGTGCCATCCGAAATCTACCGATTTGGGACCCAGTATTGGTTTCTGGGCTGCTCCTATTTCCTGGGGCTGCTGATCCCTGCCCACATCTTCATCCCTGTCTTCTACCGCCTGCATCTCACCAGTGCCTATGAGGTGAGTGGGGAGGAAGGTAGGAGCATGTGGGGCCACAGGGTTGGGGGTGGAGAGTAGGAACAGGGTGCATATGATGGATCTGGAGCCTGAGTCTCAGTAAGCACATTTTGTGTCTATAAGTTCTTTCTGGGCGAGGTTGGGGTGGGGGTGTTACGGCGAGTGAGGCCTGGAGTGATTAGAAATTGGAAATTCCTTCATGTTCCTGGACTTCTTCAGTGAAGTTGTGTGTCAATTATGAGTGCAGGGTGGGAAGAAGCACTTTTTTTTCCCCCCCTACATGCTCTTGCCCAGTACTTGGAGCTCCGATTCAATAAAGCAGTACGGGTTTGTGGAACTGTGACCTTCATCTTTCAAATGGTAAGTGGAAGGAGAATAAAAATTAATCCAGAGACATGGTAGGGCGACCTGGACTTAGGCATGCTGAGGCAGTTGGAGACTTCCCTGCTTTCAGACTGGCAGTGTTGGAATTCTTAACTGGGGGTCACTGTCACTAAAGCTCCCAGATACATCCTGCTGCATCTGTCCCATCCTAGCACAAAGACACTGGTGACGGCAAACCTAAGTTGGGGAGCAGATAAAGGGAGAGGAGCGTGAGCTTAGATGAGGGGAAGCCATTGGGATGTTGGAACTAAGGTCTGTCTTTTCTCTCTTCCCACCCTCATCTCTACCCTCACATTTTCTTTTTACACTAAACAGGTGATCTACATGGGGGTTGTGCTCTATGCTCCATCATTGGCCCTCAATGCAGGTGAGGAGTCACCACCCCTGGCTTCCAGCCATGTTGGGCTGGGAAAACTCCTTTAGGAGAGACAGGTAGGAGAGAGTACAGGAAAGAATCTGGCCTTAGCCAGGGAGTTACCTCACTGCCTGGGCCCTTGGACTAGTCCCTGCCAGAAGTGGAAGCAGTCTTAGTTCACTGCACTTGGAAGCTAATCAAATATTACCCTGCCTTATTTGAATTGGTTAATCAATACAGTTTAGTTGAGCTCTGCAGATATTTTTTCCATTGTGGTGAATGATTTATTTCATCTTTAATGACCAATGTCTTCAGAGCTTTGCTGCATTCCCCACTGGGAAATTCTCTTCCAGAGATATGAATATGACTCTTACTTGCTTACAGTGACGGGTTTTGATCTGTGGCTGTCAGTGCTCACCCTAGGCGTTGTCTGTGCTGTCTATACTGCTCTGGTAAGTTTAGTCATCCCTAGGGGACAGGAAGAAATGAACTGAAATAAGGAGAGATGGGAGGAGAAGGAAGAAGAAGAAATGAGATAAGAAGGAGAGTGAGAAAACAGGATGAATTTTGAGGGGTGGGATGAGATGAGACATAGGAGATGAGTTGGGGATAACACATAGTGGGAGATAAGATGGCATGAAAAGGTATTTGGGTTGAGGTTATATTGTTGGATAAGTAGGGTTTGGGAGGGAATGGTTTCACCACGGTTTTAGCAGTTCTACCCCCAGAAAGCATCATGCTATCTTTACTAGTAAAATTTGATGTCCTCACTAGTAGGTGGTTTAGAAGACATTTGGGCAGCTGTGCTATCTTTTCTCTATAGGGTGGGCTGAAGGCTGTCATCTGGACAGATGTGTTCCAGACATTGGTCATGTTCCTAGGGCAGCTGGCGGTTATCATCGTGGGCTCGGCTAAGGTGGGCGGCTTAGGCCGTGTGTGGGAGGTGGCTTCCCATCATGGCCTCATCTCTGGGATTCAGTAAGTACACCCCTTTTCTGAGTGGGGTCTGCAGTGCCTGAGAGCGGACATCAGGGCTGTAGTAAGCAGAGGACAAGCTATGGGAGCCTCAAGTAGGACACTGAGATGGGCAAGAAGCTGGCACTGCAGCAGGGATTGTGGCCCTAGATGCCAGACTGGTGCTTAGGGAGAGTCAGGATGTGTTGATTACCCAGGGTAGGGCTGTGGACTGGAGAAATGGAACTGTTGACTCCAACTCACTGCAATGTCTCTGGAGTCTCCCTGCTCTGGAGCCCCTCAGCAGCTCCCTTGTCCCTAGCCCCAGTGGCTCGGCTCTGCTTCTGTTGCCAGGGGACAGGGAGGGCTGGGTCTGCATCTGACAGCACAGTACAGTGCCCGGGTGGCATGTGTTACAGGCTGGATCCAGACCCTTTTGTGCGGCACACCTTCTGGACCCTGGCCTTTGGGGGTGTCTTCATGATGCTCTCCTTGTATGGAGTGAACCAGGCCCAGGTGCAGCGGTACCTCAGCTCCCGCACAGAAAAGGCTGCTGTACTGTGAGTGCAGGGACAGGAAGGCAGGGGAAGGATAGCCTGGTTCCTTAAGGTGGTTGGGATGGGGGCGGGATACACACTCACATCCATTCATTCAGCACATGGTTTCCCTTTCTGGAAGTGCCTGGGACTGTCTGCTCACCCTGCTTCTCCCTTTGGCACTGGCCTCTCCTGCAGCTCCTGCTATGCGGTGTTTCCCTGCCAGCAGGTGGTCCTCTGCATGGGCTGCCTCATTGGCCTAGTTATGTTTGCCTATTACCAGGAGTATCCCATGAGCACCAAGCAGACCCAAGCAGCCCCTGACCAGGTGAGAAAGCTGCCCAGGTCCCTTCCTATGCCCATGAAGGGCCAGTCTGGGCCCCAAGGGGAATGTCTAAAAAGGATTCCTGCCTTAGGCAAGAGATGGTTCTAAAGTCTTTTCTATTCTGAGATTCTAGGAATCTAGCAGGTGAGGATCCCAGCCCCAGCATCACCTAATTACAGTGCTTACTTTCCTGGGGGAGGGGACCTACATTTACTGATTGTTCACTATGAACCAGCTCTGCTGGGAGTTCTCACACATCTGGTATCATCTAGTCTTCCAGCAGCCTCATTTCACTGGGGAGAAAGTGGACTCGTTGAGGTAACCAGCATGCTCAAGCCATACTACTAGTGGGGCTGAGCTGGAATGTGGATGTGAAGTGCCTTGTTCTCTCCCAGAGTCCATTTTCTTTCCACTTCCTGTGGGCTGACTGGGATCAGCAGAGATGCCTCAGTGGCTGACATTCCTTCCTGGTGTACCATCACCATAGCGTCTTGCCCTGGGAAGGGATCCACTCTCAGGAATGCTGTGCACTTCTGCTCTGCTTGTAGTTTGTCCTGTACTTTGTGATGGATCTCCTGAAAGGCCTGCCGGGCCTGCCTGGGCTCTTTGTTGCCTGCCTCTTCAGTGGCTCCCTCAGGTACCCCATTAACCATTTCCCTCAGACTTGAGAAACTTCCTCCTGCTTGGTACAGGGAGACGGGTGGAGGAGGGGCTCCCTCTGTGTGTCTCACTGTGCCCATCCCATCGGAGGATGACAAGGAACAGCTCATCTGTGAGGGACAGAGCACCAGCCTCTCCCAGGAGAATGCCCCCTTTTTGGTTAGGGATGCTTCTTTTACGTTATCTAGAATTGATGTACTTAAGCAAATATTATACCCATAGGCAGAACAAGTGGCCTTGCCTTCGAGGGCTTCTCTCAGGTAGCCTCATCTGTCAACTGAAGATGGTTTTTGTTGCTGCACATGCCATCTCTCTCACCTTTAGGTTGCTAATCCCTGAAAAGAAACTAGAGTTTCTTTCTAGTCTCACCTTTCTCAGCTGCCACAGTCAGAACAGTTTATCATTTTCTTCTTCCTTTCCAGCACCATATCGTCAGCTTTTAATTCATTGGCAACTGTTACGATGGAAGATCTGATTCGACCCTGGTTCCCTGAGTTGTCTGAAGCCCAGGCCACCAGGCTTTCCAAAAGCCTTGGTGAGATTATACTTTTTCCTCTCTTCAGTCTTATTCTTCCTAAGGATCTTGGGTTACTATCTGACACTTCACGACTACTGGCTTTGGTCTTTTTTAAAGTCTCTGCTTTGTACTGGGTTCAGCACTTATCTGACGAAGCACACAACCTTCACTCCATACTTGTTTACATCTCAGAGTATTTCCTACAGACATCTGAGTCACATAAGGGTGGGGACAGGGTGGGAGGGACCCAGAGCCAGGGCATACACCTTCTGCTTCCAGGGGCATCAGCTGGTGGTTTGGTTGGGGAAGGAGTGTTGCTCTACTTTTTTTCCCCCCCTTTTTTATTGTGTAAATTCACATCTTGTTTCTTCCCTTCTCCTTTTCCCCTAGCCTTTGGCTATGGACTGATTTGTCTGGGAATGGCCTATATTTCCTCCCAAATGGGACCTGTGCTGCAGGTAATGACTCTGGAGGGAAGAAAGCAGTTAGGAGAGGAAAGGAATGGTGTGAAATAGGCAGTTGAGAAAGCTCTTTTGAGGCCAAAGATAGGGGACAGGTGTCAGAAGTTCTCCTGTGATGGACCACTTACTGCTATGGATAGACTTCCAAGCAGCCAAATGCCCCAGTGTCATTCCTGGATAGTCTCAGCTCAGGCACTTAAGAGGAGAATCATGCCATTAACTGTTCCTGCCCTTTGGAATCCTGAGTTCTGATTGCTCCAGATAGACGGACAGACAGATCTCTGCAGCAGTGGTAGGTGGCTAGGCTGTCTTTCAATGGGCTAGGAGTCTCTGAATCTGTTTTTTCTCCCCAGGCAGCAATCAGCATCTTTGGCATGGTCGGGGGGCCGCTGCTTGGACTCTTCTGCCTTGGGATGTTTTTTCCTTGTGCCAACCCCCCTGTGAGTGACCCATCCAACTCAGTGGTCTTAAGGAGTAGACCAGGGGATTGGCTTGGTGGGGCTCTCATCATGAGTGCTGGGCACTGGTGTGAAGGCTTGATGGTAGGGAGTTGGGGACAACTGAAGACTGACGTTGTGACATGTCTCTGGTCAGGGAGCCATCGTGGGCCTGTTGGCTGGACTCATCATGGCCTTCTGGATCGGCATTGGGAGCATAGTGACCAGCATGGGCTACGGCGTGGCACCCTCTCCCACAAATGGATCCAGTTTCTCCCTGCCCAGCAATCTGACCACTGTCACTGTCACCACACTGATGCCCTTGACCACCTTCTCTAAGTGAGTGGGTTCACTTTGTAGGAAGATTGTCATTTCTGAGGGGTTGCCCAGGAGCTTGGTCAAGGGATGGGCTACTAGAAATCTCAGAGACATGCTGATTGTTAGGCCCCTGTAGGTGAAGGGAGTGGGGTACCTGAGGAATGCCTGCTCCTGAATTGCTAATTGTCTTCACCTTTCTGCTCCCCTAGGCCCACAGGGCTACAGCGGCTCTATTCCCTGTCCTACTTGTGGTACAGTGCCCACAACTCTACCACAGTCATTGTGGTGGGCCTGACTGTCAGTCTACTCACTGGTGAGGGGTGTGGGATGGGGGCCCAGAGAACCAATGAGGGGCTGAGGGAGGGTTCAGGGAACCTGAAGTCTGGGGGAGACCCTCACCTTCTAGCTTGAGTGTCTGTGTCAGTGAAGATTATTGGCTGAGATCTAAGAGGTAGGCTGGGGGCGTGGGAACTCTGGAGCCCTGGAGGACAGAAGGCTTGCTGGGTATGGAGTGCCATCCTATAGGAGACTCAGAAGTACCTTTGCCTTTAGGAGGCATGCGAGGCCGGACCCTGAACCCTCGGACCATTTACCCTGTGTTACCAAAGCTGCTTGCTCTCCTGCCCTTGTCCTGCCAGGAGCGACTTCCCTGCAAAAGCTATAGCCAGGTAGTACCTGTGTTGCCATGTTACCTTCTCCTACCCATTCTCCACAAACTGCTACCTCACATTCCAGTTTCCTTCCTTCTCCCCAACCCCTCTTTCATTTCTTCCCTGAACATGGACACATGCAGCTGCCCCAGCTTCTTCCACAGGGAGCTCTGGCTTGGCAGGAGAAGGCTCTGAGGCCCAGAGAGGAGCGTAGAGTGCCGACCACCCCCATCTCCATCCCACAGCCTTGCTCTCCCTCTGCCTTGTGCTGTGGTCCTCCCTTTCTCTCCCCTCCCCTTGCTCACCCCCTCCCTCTGGCTGTCCTGATTTTCCATCTAGAGGGATCCCAGCAGAGTCTCTCTTCCTTGTCTGTGTTAGTTCCCTCACCATGCCTTTGCCTCATATTCATTCCAGCCCACACTCTCATTAGTCTTACGTGTTCTCCAGGACCTCCCTATGGACACCTGTCTGTTTCCAGAGAAGATGAGTAATGGTGTGCTGTGGGGCAGCCAAGAAAAGGAGGCCCTGGCAGTGCCAGAGGAAGGCTCAACCCACCAGGGCACCAGCCCCACCTTCATCCTCCAAGAGACTGCACTGTGATCCGGACTTAGGACTCAAGCATCTCTACAGTCCACGAGGCAGCATCCAAGTGGCTATCCCATAGTACAGAGATGATTCACTTAACTTGTTCTGTAGGGTGGTTTAGGGCTCGGAGGACATTGCCCATACCAAAGGACCTTATTCTGAGAGCCTCTAGCCTGTAGTAGAAGTTGTCTCATCACAGGGCTGTGAGGGTGGCGCAGGGTTTTTCTTTTCCCTCACCAGTCTGTTCTTTAGAGGACTGGGCTTTCAGGAGGCAGGATTGTGCCAGAAAAGAGGCTAGAAGGTAATCCTGTGGGAAAAGGACAATCCTCCTAATTCTACATGGCCAGGCTTCTCTGAAGTGACTAGAAACAGTATTTCTGCTTATAACTGTCCTTGGGCCCAATTTGGCAAGGTTGAACCCCTGCGCCATAACACTGCTAGCTGTGTTGGCCACTATTGCTTCCTTTGCCATCCCATCTAAGCACACATTTGTCAGCCACAAGGGGCTCCTGTCACTGCTCTCAGGTTTTCTGTGACACCCTAATCCCTCTCATTCTCTTCTGCCTACCTCCATTCTTGAGAGGGGAGGCTTTGGTGCCCCTGGGAGGCCTCTTAGAATGGATAGGAATGTTCATCTCCTTTGTGCGAAGTAGGGAAGTTTTCCACAGCACAGCCCCCACCCTCTGTTGAGCCAAGAAAACCAACACTATGCATAGGCCCACTGGAGCAGCCATCCCTCTGGCTCCTGAGCCATGCTTGCTAGTGTCATTTTGTCGTCTGTGCTTCTGTTCCTTTTGGAGTTTCTTCTCCTCATATCTTTGTCCCTAGGGAATAAAAACTGCTGTTGGACCTGTAATCTGGGCTCCTGTACTGTCTCCAATTGCTCTTGTCCACCAGCACCATCTCATAAACGAAATCAAGAGCTCTCTCCTGGTGAACAGACCTTCCTCTGCTGAGGAGGGATGAGTTCTCATTCATTGTGGTTTCAAGTCACAGACCTGGCATTTCTTCGGGGGTGCCGTTGTGTTCACCAAAATGAAGGATGCCTGCCCTCCCTCTGATTCTGTCCCCAGTCGCCCAGTCTGCCCTGTCAGGCCCCTTCTGTCCTTGCCAAGACAGTGCCTACTATGAGATTTTTAGTTTGAGGGGTGGGGAAGAGTGCTGTTAATGGAACATTGAGGTAGACTTTATTGTTTTGTTAAGAAGTGTGCTCAGACTCTCTAGTTGCCTGTAAACAGCCCTGGACAAACTCTTCAAGGTCCCTCAGCAGATACTTGGGCCCAAGCATATTTATGGGTTCAGCCCTGGTGGAGGTCTTCTCATGGCTACCAGCCTCAATTCAGCTGCCCTCCCACATCCCATGCAGCACAAGCCCTGGGTCATTCTGTTGCTCCTTTTCTATGTCCACCCCAGCTGCCTGAGTCACCCCCACAGCCCCATTTCTCCTGCTGCCTGGCCAGTCCTATGGTGGAACAGCAGCTTGTGCCAGAAGCCAGACCTTAAGCCACTCCCAGCCCATCTAGCACCTCTGTTGTCATGATGGCAGTGATGGCTGGTAAGATCATTCCTACACTGGGCCTTACACTTGACTTCCTGGGTTTCTTTTTCTAGTACAAGAGACTTGAATTCATCATAAAATTTCTTCTTGGTATGGCCTTCAGTGATGTGGAGGCTGGGCCTAGAATATTACTCTTTTTTTCCTTTAATTGTGATTTGGGTGAAAATTTACAGATCAAATTCACTTTCCATACAGCAGTTCACATATGCTTTGTCTCATGACATTGACCACAATGCAACAGCCCCCCCCCCCACTTCCTCCCGACAGTAACCTCTTCCCTGTGTCCATCCCTCCATGCACTCCTGCCCCCTGAGCTGTCTCCCTATGCATAAACAGCTCTTCTTTCTCCCATGATTGTTTTCTCCGAAGAGTGTATCTGCCTCAGGTAAATAAATGTTGAACTCCTATGCCTGTCTTTTGCCAGAGCTGTGGCTTCAATTCCAGACCTGAAGGGCAGCTAGAGGCCATAGTCTCAGTGGTTCCACCAGGCTCTATCAGACCAGTAGAACATTACTCTTGTGATCAAACCGGAGACTTGTGCACTAAAGCTGCCCCCTTTGAGATGTGCCTGGGAGGGATCTCAGGGAGAATGAGGAAGATGGTATCCCTAGGGCTTAATTTGCAGAATTAGGGTAGAAGTGAGGAGTCTACCTCAGAGGCCTTAAACCAAAATTACATAAGAGGCTTATCTTATTTTTCTTTAAAGATTAGAATTCTGATGTAGTGGAAAGATAATAAGCCTTTAACTATATGGGAAAGATGCACTTTTTCCTTAACAGGTTCCTTGGGAATGATTGAACCTACCATGGCAGGCCTCCGTGTTTCAAGCCTTATTTGCTTCCTGGTTCAAGAACCTGGTAGAACTGCTTCTGGCAAAAAAGCTTAACCTAGGCAACATAAGCTATTTGAAAATTTCCAGGAAAACCAGAAATGGAAAATTTTTAGCTCAAGCTGTAGAAGGAGAGAACAATGATTGCCACCAAGAATTAGGGAAGATCATCTGCTTGTCTGGATTCTTAGGGCTTGAACTCTGCACCCCTCATTCTTTGGCCAGGATAGCAACTACAGTCTAGACCAGGGCACCTCAGGGCTTCATCATGGAGGTAAAACCATACCAAGCCTTTCTGTAAGACACTGGGATAAACTCACATCCACTGCCATTGAGTAAATTTCGACTCAGCAACCCTGTTGGATGCAATAGAAATGCCCTATAGTGTTGGTTCCCAAGGTTGTAAGTTTTTATGGAAGCAAACTGTTGCATCTTTCTCACCTTGGAGAAGCTGGTGGGTTCAAACTGCTGAGCTTTTGGTCGGCAGTCAAGTGCTTAACCACTGTGCCACCAGGGCTCCTTAGACACTGGGCTAGAAGTGAGTTATACTCACAAACTGTAGCCCCATGAGCCTAGTTGCATCTCCTTTAGCCCAGGACTTGCCCTTTCTCTTGCTCACTGCCAAGCCCCAAGTGCCTCTGGCTCCAAACCTGTGTTAGTGCTGCCCACTCCCCCTCAGCTGGGTCTTCCAAGGATTGCCTACCCTTTCAGCAGTCCCAGAAACGCTAGATTGGCTCTGTGCTGAGGTCTGCATTCTCTGACAGCACTCCACGTGGGGGCTGAGAGGGTACTGCTCCCTGGCTAACTACCCCGTGTACCAATCCGCCAGAGTTCTAGACCTAACCTGGCCCCTCATTTGTTCATTCTCTAATGTATGGATTGTTGTTGTTATGTGCCATCGAGTTGGACCTGACTCAAACCGACCCCTCCTTGGGTTACTGAGGTATCACTATGGAAGTAGATTGCCCAACCTGCCTTCTGAGGAGTGGCTGGTGGGTTTGAACCACCAGCCTTCTGGTTAACAGTCAAGTGCCTTAGGCACTATGCTACCAGAGCTCCTAATGTATGGATTAATCACTTTAATTAGCTAAAGGAGCTACTCTGCCCAGCCCAGGGCCCCTGCACTGGGTGCACAGTTGACATTCAGAGTTGCCTCTATCTAGTCTCAAATTGTTGCGTTTTAGCTGTATGGGCACAGAAGAGGAAGAATTCTCTTAGGACTCAAAACTCAAGAATTATGATATTTCAGGAGAAATAGTGAAAATACCCAATTCTCCATAGAAATAATGCAAATCCTACAACACAGAGAATAAAGATCCTTCTTTTGTAATACAGTAAAAGATTTTTCCTTCATGTAACATAAGTGTCATTTATGAACCCTATTTGATGGTTATGGGACTCTAATAACAAACCTGGGTTCAAATACTGATTTATTCATATAACTTCTTTAAGCTTCAGTTTCTTTATCCATTAAATGTTAAGATTTATAGGGTTGTTTAAGATTCAAAATTCTGCATGTAAAGGATTTAAATATTCCTGAAATATCAGTTGTTATTGTTGTGATTTTTCTTTATTATTCTCAAGGCAGTTTTAATATACTACCTGACTTAATACCTTGGAAGTATATTATCTGATTTGAATAGATAAAATAACTGGACTGGTTGGCTGTTAAGTAGAGATATAACTAGAACCAGGCTTCATGACTCCCAGGTAGCACACTAAGGTACTGCTGCACCTTGTATCTATCTATCTTGTCATGAGAGCAATCTCTCTCTCTCTCTTTTTTTTTTTCTCCAAATTAGATATATTTTCAGCCTGTCCACCCATCTATCTAGTAATGTCTTTTTGGACAGAATGTTCATACAGAGTACAGGATCTCTTCTGTGCTAGCAGTTTAGAAAATAGTGAGGTACTAAATGAGATACTGTTGCACCATCATTCAAGAAACCCTCTAGGGCAGTGGCTTTCAAACATTTTTGACTGACACCCATGGTAAAACACTTTTTTATAGTATAATTCAATACATACATACATTTCATATAGAATGCAAAAACATTTCATGGAAAAATATGTCTAGGATACAGCCTAATGTTTTCTGGCTCTTCCTCTTCCTTTCAGTCTTAAGGTATGAAGTAGAGCATTCATGCTGGGGGCTGTTTCTGAAGGGATGTCAGAGCTCAAGTGAAAGGTGGGAGGCCATGCATGGGAGTGGCCCAGCTTGGGATATGATAGCCTGAGCAGGGTGAGGAGGGCATTCACACAAAGGAGCAGCCTGGTGTGGGTGTTGGCGAATGAGCAGAGTGAGGAAGGCATTCCCACAGGGCTGAAGACCCGGTGCAGGATGTCAGCACTAGAGTGGGGTGAGGAGGAGGGAGTCCAGTTCTACGGCAGCTTGATGTGGGATGACAGAGCTTAAGCAGGGTGATGAGGCCATCCACAGGTCAGTGGCTTGGTCAGAGTCTGAGCAAGAGGACAGCATTTGTGTGTGTGTGTGTCCCAAATGGGGGATCAGAATCCAGACAGAATGAAGAGGACATCTACGTGTATGTGAGTAGACCAGCCTGGAATTTTACAGCCTGAATACAATGAAGAGGACATTTACGTGGTTGTTGTTGTTGTTGTGTGCCG